CTTTCTTTACTGGACAAAGTTCTCCGCATCATCTAATACTGAATAGTTTTAGGATTCCATTAGTACTAAGGTTTGTATTTTCGCCTACTAGTAATCACGCACCTGCAATTATGCATCTACTTGATACTTTCTTAACAAAGCAACTTACTTCAAAAAAAACAGCAGCAATGGTTGAACAGTAAATACAGTTATAACTACTTGTAACTGTAATCTATGCAGTTTTGTGAAGAGCTACCATAAAACTTAAACAAATCACAACCAAAAAAACGAATTTTGCAAGTCTTATTCACTCCACCAACCATTCTAATGAAATCAAAACCTTTTCTATTAGTAGAGTTGTTAGATTCACAATTTATATCTCAGATATGCAATAAATTCTATTATTAGGATGAGGAAATCTAGCAGAAACAAAGATTAAAAATCCGGAATCAGCACATCAATATAAGATTAAACAATGTGAAGTTTAAGAAAGAAAAAAGTAAAAATCAAACCTTATCCCAAGAAGCTTCGGGATCGAAAAGCTGTCTGAACTTTGATAAGTGACCATTCTGATGTTGGTCTTCCGGTTGAACATCGGAATTTGATTTCTTCCTCTGTCTCATGGTGAACAAAATAGTAAACAATTGTTAAATCACAAGTTGAGTAAATTTTTAGGGTTTTGATGAAATCTGACGACGATGATAATTAATATGAAATTAGGAAAATAATGATTGTAGATCTAGATTTTATATAAATATATATGATTAGATGGATGGAGAATGCAACAATGTTTGGTTCTTCTACTTTGGCTAATAATTTTATTTCTTTTTCAGGGGTTGAATTTTCTTTTTTTTCTTTTTTTGGAGGCTGATGGGGCACATGCTATCGATCTTTTTGGAGTTTTGGTTTATATGGACTTTATTTAAAGTGTTTTTCCAAATAGAATGTGGTTTGATCCAATGGTGTATTGGTAAATTAAAGTGTAAATCTAAAAATTTATTTATTTATGATGATTAGGTAATTTAATAAAATAGATATTAGGTGCTTTATCGTGTTTTGCATTAAGCAAATGATTAATGTGAGCTTCTTGCTTAGTTTTTTTAATATGGTTTTCATATATGTTATTTGATAGAGATAAAGTGATTATCGTTTTAAAGAAATTTTATCAGTTTAGGGACGATTCCATGTCATTGTTTCGTTTATTATTATTATTCCTTATGAGTTGAGTATCTATGCTGTCTCTCATGGTAGAACTTGTCTTCACTTGGAATGTATATATGACCCACATGCTATATTTTTCATGTATCACATTCTAAAGCATAGGGATACTTTATTATACTTTGTGATAGTTGTTTGATTACTTTTGTGGTAAGGCGCTAAAATGGAGTATGATTTTATGAAAAGTATAAAGGGATGGTAGAAAGGAAAATGAAAGCTAAGAAAATTACTTAATTCGTTTCATATGAGTCGATGATTTTGTAAAAAATAATTATCTCATATTAGTGGTCTATCTTACTAAATTAAGAAACCATGAATGAAAATATTCCTATATTATCATTAATTGCTATTATTTTTTCTTGAAAGTATTTACCTTTTGTTTGTAAAATTCTTAAAAATTCTTTTAAGGAGTGAGTTAGTGAAATTATCTTTTTAATCATAATTTATTAATAATGTATGGAAAAAGAATAATGATCAACTAATATAGAACAGAGGGAGTATATATCAGCCTCCAAAGAAGAGGAATCTAATTGTCACTCTATATAACTAGGTGGATCAAATGGGTGGATTGAATTGAAGATATTAAAATGAGTTAAAATAGAAAATTAATTGGATCATGACCTGCTTAATTTCAAATATACTTCCGGATATATAAGCAGATTTTATCGATACATAGAGAAAGGATATATCATGTATCAAAGAGGGCAGAGAGGATGTATCCGAGAGTAGAGAGATGTATCAAAGAGGGGAGAAAGAATGTATCTGAGAGGATAGAGATGTATCAAAGAGGGGATAAAGACATTTAGATACATAAGGAATGAATGTATCATGGGGGGACCGGACAAGACATTCCGATACATAGTGGATAACTATATTCGAGAGGGGGAATTTTATTTTTTTTAAAATAATGAAAATTTTTAGAGATTATGATAAAATAAGATGTGTATTATTCATTCTATCTAAATACTTAACTATTCGCTTTAAGTTTTGAACACAAGCGGAGTCATGATTCTTAATTAATGAGTTTAGGATTAAAATTTCTTTTACTTAATGAGCTTACATAGATTATTTAATACATATAAATGAATTTTCACATACAAACAAAAAGAATAACTTAAAATAGATTAACAAGAAACGATTAATGAAAAAGAATCCATAACAAACCTTACAAAATTTTACTGGACTTTATAGGACAGTGTTGAGAACAAAACAAGGTTTATCCACTATTTTGTCGAAATTAAGGGCATTTTTTAATTTTATTTTAGTGGATAATCTGTCTCTAAAAACACACACCTCACCTTCAAATTTTACCCACAAGAGGTTTTTTGTTATCCCTTAATTTCTATTTACCCTTCTTTCACTAAAAAACCTCCCAACAAATCGAACTCAACTGTAAAAAACCAGTAAAAACCCCAATTAAAAACTACTTTAATCCTTAATCATCAATAATTATTTTTATCCCTTTTTTACCTCCTGCCATTTAAAAAAAAAAATTGGATAAGGAAGTTTCGGTAATCCGTTTTTCTCTACCATAAATAGACAAGTGTCAACTAATATTTTAATTTTTATTTATTTTTTGTTTTTTATTTTTACAGTTTCATCTTTAAAATTTCTTAATAGAAAATAAAGTCTACTAAATAAAAGGTTTAAAAAACTCTCAGAAAAGGAAAAAAAATACTTATTTGCGCTCACTGCATGCAACACACAAAATCATTAATTAGTATATGGCATGCTTACCTAAATACCATCATCTAACACATTTTTCATTATCATTAATATATATCATTATCTCGATTTACTATTTTATCACAATAAATTATCATAAATTATTTCAGAAAAGAAAGTCATAAATAGGAAAAAATACAATCTCTAACTTAACAAGAACAAAAACATATACTCACGAAATCTCATTAATGGTCGGGTATTGAGAATATCACCTAATTTGAAGTGAATTATTAGTTTCATTCTTAAGCTAATAACAATTTAAAAATATCTCTCTATAAGACTGAACTCAACATACCTTTATCTTATCACATTAATGAAATACATCTCTTATAAAATTTCGTCAAGTTTAAAGTATTTTCAATACTTTTCTTGACTTTTTGGGTGCTTGGTACGAAGGAAAATGTTTTCTATTAAAAATGTTTTTCTAGAGAACAAGTAGATTTTGAACTTATTTTCTCATGTTTGGTTGGTGAGTAGAAAATATTTTTTGTGTATTTGATTTATAAATGAAATTAATTATTTTGGAGGTTTGGGGTGGGTGGGCAAAATTAATTTTTTGAGGAGGGGGTGGGGTTTAGGGGGCTGGCCAGTGGTGGGTGGGTGGGATCGGATGAAAAAATAAATTTTTAAAATTGAAAATATTTTTTTAAAATTGATGTTTTTCGAAGGAAATGTAATTTGAAATTGGAAGAGAGTACTTAATTTATGAAGGGAAGTTATTTTCTTTAATTTTGAGGAAAATGAGTTGATTTGGAAAACATTTTTCAAAACTTTTATCCCAACCAAACACATTCTTTATTAAGAGTCTCATAATTCTATAAGAGTTTCAAAAAGTTATTATGTCATGTGACATATCCAAGGTGTAGATAGTCAAGTTAATGAATGTCAATAGTTCAAAAACGAAATTAACATTTCACGCCATGTGCCATGTTAAAAGACCGTTTTTAATAATTCTCTCTTTTAATTTATTGGAAGTGAACGAGATCATTTCTACATCTCTAATCAAGTTAAGAATACTAATTGTTAAATTAAAACATGTTCAATTAGTGAAGTCATCTAGAAGTAATTTTCTACAATAAAATGACAAAAAATTCAAAGAAAAGCTTCTTGGTTCAGTTTAGAGTTTGTTGGACTACTGGTTTATCAGAACCTTTGTGCTCCTATTTTTATTTATTGTTTTTTTGATTTATGATAAATTAAAAAAAAAAAAAAGGTTCTCTGGCTTGGCTTCGGTGACTCAACGTTTTTCTCGATTACCAGTTGATGGGTTTGTTGTGCCAAGTGGCATGATCTACGTCCAACCTGACAGATTTTATATGGGCCCACCATTTGTCGAGTAACCGGGTCTTCAGGTGGTTTCTGCCTGTGACAGAAACCTGGTAATGCCCAGTGCATTTACCGTTACAGCCAGTGATTGTATAAGAAGTGGGGGTTTAAGACAAAACATGGCTGCTTTTCTCAGGGTTTTTCTCCATCATCACATTAAATTATGGGGTACATCTTTTTTTCATTTCTCATCTTCTATTTTTTTTTTCTATCATCATGGGTGATTTTGGTGTCTATAGGTATAAATTTTGTGTTTTTTGAAGGTTGGGTTGTTTGTTTCTTGTTGTTGATTTGTTCCCAAATTCATAAAGTTGCAATTTTTGCTTTAAGAAACTGGTTTTCTTGAAGAGAAAATTCTCAAGATGGTTAGAAAAAGAATGTTTTTCTGTGACTAAAACAGAGTAATTTGGAATACTCAACTGTTAACCTTTTCTCTGGAAAATCTTGTTCTGTATATTTCTTGGATCCAAGTGGGGGTTTCTATTTTTGAAAATTTAATGCAGGGTATGTTGGATTAGATCTATCTATCTTTCTGTTGTTTTTATTTTGTTGATCCAAAGCTTTGTTTGTGTGGGGTGAGGGTTGGGGGTGGAGTAGGCAGGGGTAGGGTCATGGCTAAATGGGTTAATCACAAGATTAGTTTATTTTCGTGTATATATAGTAGATGATGAACCCTTGATGGAAATCCTGCATCCGGCTTATCACCACTAGAAGTAGGTAGGGGTATTGATCATTCATGAGTTTTTAGTTTTAGGTGTTATTATTTTATGGATACTATCTGACAGGGTTTTTGGGCGGGGGGTTTTCAGTTTCCTCTTTTTAAATTTGTACAATTTCCTTAAAAATGCTTTCTTTATCCGTTTAAACAAACGATGAATGGAGGAGGGTTCTAAGAATGTTCTTTCTTGGTGTTGAGAGTTTCTATCATATCCTTATCTTTTTTGCATTGCATATGGATATTGTGCTTATGATGGTTCGTTCATATTGATTTGAGATGGATCACGTGGATATGGTACGAGTAGATGCATAAGACCAGACTTTGTGACTTATGTTGGTGGGGTGATTCATATATAGCCTTTATTCCGACTGATCATGAAAAATGTTGTGTTGGAATGTTTTTATGCTTCTTGTCATTCTTATTGTGTGTTGACTGGTAGTGGCTCTTTTCATCTTTTCCCAAATTTTGATGTATTGAAATAAGTAACCTCAGTACATTTTTCACACTTACATTTGTTTATTTTGATCTATTTACCAGAGAGGAGGACCTTGCAAAATCATAGAGATCTTGATAATCCAAGTACTCTCCTTGAATGTTGGAATAGGACTATCACATCAGTCAATTTTGTAGTGATCAAGCAGCCAATCATGGTTGAAATATGTACTTTGAGCTGTGTATTTAAGATGTGAAGCTTTCATTTACTTGGACATCTAGCAGAACTTAGGGTATAACAACAGCTAGATATAATTTAAGCATATCAGATCGTAATCTATTATCCCTAATATCCTGGTTGATAACCAAATCGATAAATGAAGATAATGAAACTTGAGGGTTTGAGTTTGGCATAAAATTCTGCAATACAAAGGTGTAGTTTTACTGGATTTGTTTCTACTGGCATCTGGTGCTTTATCGAATATTGGTGATTCTGTTCTTTTTCCCTTTTTCCCCTGGAATCTGAATTAAGAGAATTTCAACTCTAGGATCCTTTTGTTCCGATTTAGTTTTGATTTCACACATTTTTCTTGTGATTAAATGTCTTGAATTATAATGCTTCTTTTGCAGGTCTTCTATTTCTTAGATTATTTGGTGCAGTTCACCACAAAAGTTGTGTAACATGATGTTTTTACACTGTAAATTTGGGCAAAAAATCTCTGTTGTTCTGTGTTCTTCGAATCTTTCTTGGTATGGTTGATGAGATATGGTGTTGCAGAAGAGGTTAGATTATGGATTTAATGGCTATCAGGTGCCTCCTATACCTCGAGCTACCAGATCGGTTAGGGTAATCTTGCTCTTTTTCAGATGCAATATTTGTCTTATTAGTATATTCCTCTAATATAGAGACACTTATCCTGATCTTAATTCTCTTTTAATTTCTTAGAGAAGGGGTATTATTAAGAGAAAAGCTGATGGCAATGGAACTTGTCACTTTGACTTGTTAGCTACTGTAGCTGGCAAGTTACTGGGGGAAGGAGAGAGTTCGCCTGATTCTAAGGGTTCTGTTAAAGGGAAGGAGAAAGGTGCAATTGTGAAAGATGAAAAGGTTAAGGAGGCTGAGGATAAATCTCTAAAAGAAAAATCTTATACTGAAGGCTGTTATGAACGGGGCTTCTTTATTTCTGAGCTTGTCTCACAAGCTCCAGTTGTAAATCGTTCTTTAAGCGAACTGCCACATGTTCAAAATGATACGATCTCTAGACCTGCATCTGCCAGTATGAGTTCTGATTGCTCTGAGAAGTTACTCTTTGCTAAACAGTTTGTAAATGGTGAAAGCAGCGAGGAACATGAAAACTTTTGTTCGAAGACAGAACGGGAGGCGTCTGGCTGTGGAGTCTTTTCCAGTTGTACATTAGACACTGAAAACGATAAACAGATGAAAATTGAGCTGTCAAATAAAGCTAAAGTTTTGACTGATAAGGGGACTGCAATTTCCAGTTCAAAGTTCCCTGATGTTTGGGACAAGAAACCTTCAACACTTGTTACTTCAGATGAAAATGTAAAATTATCTCTGTCTACATATCCTGCTCCTTCTAGGTCCTTTCCGGTGATTCGGGATAATGTAAAATTAGCTTATAAAGATGATGACGAAAACTCTGGGTGCACTCAACCTAGCACCCCAAATAAGGCCTCCGGGGCAGCACCATGTTTACGGGATCGGCCAATTAAGAAGTTACTAGCTTCCAAATATTGGAAAGAAAATCTTAAATTTGATGACGAGGGCCATGCCAATTCTGGTTAGTATTTATTCCCCCGTTTCAATTTGTTTGTCTTAATAACTTACACTAATCTTGTCTTAACAACTTACTCTGTTGGTGTAATGTTCATTCATAGTGGCCAGGCGGACCGTCTGGAAGATGTCTCTTTCTTTTTTGATAAATTTTTAAGTCCAACTTTTCACATGACATATTTAAGCACAAGATTAAAGGAATTCTTGGTACATTCTGTATCTTCCATTTAGGACCACAAGATTCAATAATCTTCTTTACTTTCATAAACTCTTTTCCCTAGTCAAAATCAACCAAACAAATTGAAACGTAAGGAGTATTATTTATGCAACCCTTCATGTTCAATTGCTTAGGAGTTTGACATGAAGAGGACTTTTCCAGGTGGGAAAGCAATGCATGTTTACTACAACAGAAACATTGGCTACAAGCGGGACGGCTACAAGCACCAAAGATCTCAGAGGGATTTTCCTTTCAAGAAAAGAAAGGTCTTTAAATGTGGCTCGTTCTCCAATTCTGATGGAGAGATGAGTACGGATGGAATAAGTAGTTCTCCAACAAATGACTTGCATGGAAATGCTTCCGGTAGTAGTAAAGCATCTTCAGGAGGTTTGTTTTCTTCAGAATTCACGCCTTCATGCAACAACATGCACATGACTATGCATAAAGGTGTATGCGTTTGATTCCTATTGATACTTAATTTCCCTCTGCGTATCAACTCTGACAGGCTGCGCAGCGGTTGGAACGTCAGTTTTCAGTGGAGGTCGTCCATTCCTCAGGCCTGGTGATTCCCATGGTGAGAGGGTCTTCTTTCGGAGTCACCACATGAACTCTTCTGTACACCTTGCTCTTTCAAGGTTCTAACATGGATGTTTTTCCTTTCGTGCAGTTAAGTTTAGAATTAAGTCCTTCAAGGTTCCTGAGCTTTTTGTTGATATTCCGGAAAATGCAACTATTGGTTCTTTAAAGGCATGTGAAAGCATTACCTTCAAATACTAATCCACATTCTTAATTAGGATTATATCATCAGTATTCCTTCCTTTTTTTTCGTTTTTTTTAATTTCAATGTGGAAAAGCACTATTCATGCTTCTAATATTTTGCAGAGGACTGTAATGGAAGCAGTGACTGCTATACTTGGTGGTGGACTACGAATCGGTGTGGTTTTTCAGGGTAAGAAGGTTAGAGATGATAACAAAACCTTGTTACAGACTGGAATATCTCACGATTACAAGCTTGACGCTCTGGGCTTCTCACTTGAGCCCAATCCCGTTCAAACTTCCCAACCTCTTGGTCAAGACTGTCGTTCTTGTGTACTTCCTTATGAAACACCTCAACCGCTAACAAGGTATTCCACTTGTCGATCTCTGTTTGATATTACGACCGCAGCCATTTCTATTATTGAGCAGCTGTTGCTGCTGCTTCAGTTTAGCAACCAGTTATATGGGTAGATAGATATATACGTGTGATTATTGTGACATTAAAAGTCAATAACTTCTTTCAACTCTTCACGGATTGTTTCTACTCTTTCTAGTATCTTGCCCACTCCGAACCGCCCCCTTTCGTGGTCTTTAAACTCTTAAGCTTAGTTGAAGCGTGTGACCATCTCATCTAAAATCTTAAGTTTTTAGAGCGAGCACTCTTTTCATTATTTCATAGTTATTCTTAACAACCGTTTTTTTGGAACTGCGCTCCCTTTAAAAACGTTCTAGAATTGAAAGTCCTTGATTTTGCAGTATATATGTCAGCAGGTGCCCATCTCCTTCTACTGTGATTCATACTGGCATTCATCAAGGGAGATCTGATGATCATACAGGAACAAGTTTGAGTACCTTTCTTGAAAGTGACCATGAATCGGCTCCATCTCCTCATTATGCGGCTCTAGAGAAAATTTCTGCAAATTCAAGAGCATTGGTTCCACTAACTGCAGTAAATGCAGAAGCCTTGTCTGCAGTCCCATTGCGGAAGCCCAAGCGATCCGAGGCCACCCAACGTCGAATCCGTAGACCTTTTTCTGTCTCTGAAGTGGAAGCACTTGTTCAAGCTGTTGAGAAGCTTGGAACAGGAAGGTATGTTTAGTAAAACCATATTTCAAGGTACGGCTATCCATACACCTTCCGCTTACCTCTTGAGTTCTCTTTCACTTTTTTCAGTTATTGTCTTATCGTTTTGCAGATGGCGTGACGTGAAACTTCGAGCTTTTGATAATGCCAAACATAGAACTTATGTTGATTTGAAGGTATAACATGTCAATCAATTGACTTTTAAAGTGGCATACTTTTGCATGATGTACTTCATTTTCATTACATCTACATTACTTAACAAAACCTTCCGCGAATGAGCTGAACACACATAGTAATCCCATGATACGTAATTTGATGGTTACCATTCAGGACAAATGGAAAACCCTGGTGCACACAGCAAGAATATCCCCTCAGCAAAGGAGGGGCGAGCCGGTGCCACAAGAGCTCTTGGACAGGGTCCTCACCGCTCACGCTTACTGGTCCCAACAGCAAGCCAAGCAACAGATGAAACAGCCATCGGAGACTTACCTTCTTCTCTAGGAACGTCGTGGAAGTGGGTGGGGAGTAAATAAGAGTTTTAGATTATTTTGTTAGTGTAAAAGGTGTTATGTTAATAAAAGTTATACCGGGGAAAGTGATCAAGTTCCTTCCCAAGAGGAGTTGAAGCTGCTCTTGTAAATGTTTTGATAGAATAAAGTGTTTTTGCTAACAGAATTTTTTTATATTAAATGCTTCTTTTCATGGAAAGAAGTTCTTTCTGAGGTAAGGGTGTTGTATTTTGTAGTTTATTTGTCCCTTCAATAGAAAAGGGAAATGTAGTTGATTGTAAAACTTTAGTTCAATATCATACTAATATAATTCTCATGTTTTTTGGACATGAATATTAATTTTGAGATTTTAGATACAACTATTTTTTGTATTTCTTTAAGTTAATATTATCGTTAAAAAGGTATGGTGAGATGTTAGAAATCTCTATGTTTTTAGTTAGAGTTTTAAGTTTGAGCTTTGAATTTTTAAGATATACTAGTATATTTCTATTTAAATAATTTTTTATCTATTTAAGAAATATTTTACTCTATTAGTTATACGTTGAATATCAATTGAAATATAATACTTAGTAGATTTGAAAAATAAAAATAATTTTTTTTTAATGATTTTAGATATTTTGACATAAAGGATAAATGTGGTTCCTAAAATAGACGGTCAGGGTGATCCCAAAACTTAACGAAACATAAACACGATGTATTTTCCATAACTTACAGCTATTTTTGAAAAAAGAAAAATTGTTGTCACTTTTGAATAGTTTTTTTTTATATATTATATATATATATAATTGATAGGAGTAGACTTGTTATATTCTTTAAAAAAATTATTGTCGGTTAGATACATCTCTGGTATACTCATTCATTAATTATTTTGCTTAGTATTTTTCCAACACTTATTACTTGTTAGCAAAGGATCATGCATGATTGATGATAATTGAATCTCTTTCTTTGTTTAGTTTTAATTATGCTTTGACTATGCAACAAAATAACTAACCAATACATAATTATTTTTCAAATACTCTCTTTGTCCGGAATTATTTGTTATGTTGCGTTTTTCAAAAGATAATTTAATTAACTTTTAAAGTCAAATTAGATTATATTAATTTGATATTTTAAATAAAAAAATTAGATATCTTAAAACTATATGAAAAATATTATAAATTGTAATTTTTTACATATTAATATAACAAAAGATAGTCAAAAATTTTATATTTTAACTCTAAATATAGAAATAATGACAAACAATACTAGACGGAAGAAGTAATAATTTTCACCAAATCTGAGAAAACTGGCGGCCAAAGCCCAATGTATGTGAGCAGTGTTGGTCTCATATATTATTGATAGCGGAGTAAAAAATTTCAATTTTATGATTTTTAAATTTTAATATAATATATTAGTGTTTTAAAAAGAAGTGATTTAATTTAATTCAATCATATTCGATCTTCTAGCACTGCCCTAATCACCGACGGGTCAAAAAGATTCAATTTTAGAACCTCTCATGAAACTTCCGTTTTAATATTTTTACTAATTTTGTGTTAAGTGGATGAATAAAGCTTAACGTACTTAGTTGATTTGGTCAAATCATTCTGAAGTGTCTTTGTTCTATCATATGTCCCCCAAACCAGAGGCGGATCTACTCAGTGCGATAGGGTTGTCACGTTAATTACAAATTTCGATGAAAATTTTAGCATAATTCGTTATATTTTTAACATTTATTATTATTTTTCTATTCTATAATAATTATTTACATTACTAAAATATTTGTCAATTAACAAAATCGAACAATATATTTATTTTTATTTTAATTATCCTAACAATTAATTTTTCTTGAATGTGTAAACAAAATTTGTAAAAATTTGCAAAAATGATCTTAAAATAAAATAGTAAATTGTCTTCTTCTTTTTTTTTGTTATGATCTCTTAAAGAATACGGCTAAAAAAAAGTTAGTTAACTAATACGAAAAATGAAAGGAGTATAATTTTATTTTTTTTCTCTTTCTCAATAATTTGATAGTTTCATAAACATTTGAATGCATTAAATATAATCTAACAAGAAAAAAAAATGGAAATATCGTCACTAATTTTGACAAATAATTACATAGGTCTTGGTATTATTTTCATGTCACCCAAAATTGAAAATTAACGAGATAATGCCCAAGTATCCCCTCAACCTATATCCAATATTTTAGAGACACTTATACTGTACTAAGATCCTATTACCCCTGAACTTATTTTATTGATATTTTTCTACCCTTTTTTGGCTTACGTGGCACTATCTTATGGGTCCACCGCTAGTTGACTTTTTTTTTCAAGCTAGTGTCACGTAGGCCGAAAAAAAGTAGAAAATTACTTATAAAATAAGTTCAGAGGTAATAGGACATTAATATAGTATAAGTGTTTCTTTGAAATTTCGGACATAGGTTGAGGAGATACTTGTGCATTTTCCCAAAATTATTCATAAATTCTTACTGTCCTACATGCATACTCTGTCGGTTATATGATATCTATTTTTTCTTAAAATTCAAGCTATGTGAGGCCTTCAACTATTATTAATTTTTTCTTAAACAACCTTCAAACACATTTTGAAAATAAATTATAATTGTTGTTTATTTCTATTTTATTAATTGATTTGTCAAATAGATCGAAAGATGAATAATTCAAATTAAACCTAAAATTAACTTAGATAATGTATCTACTTGACACCTATAGACTCTGAATCCAGAAACCGCCTCTGCTCAAACATATATAAATAATTTGACTATGAAGTAAAATAAGCCATTCATGATTTCCTGTGGGGCAAGATATTCCCCCCATAGTATTTAAATAAATCGGCATTTACTTATATTTTATATGGTCATATCGGTATCCAACGTTAGATTATTTGATTTAAAAATATATTTTATAAAATATAAATGGGTAGAACGTTGTAGGACTTATTCTACATGAAGAAATGAAATGCAATGCAAAAATATCGAGGTCGCGCATTACCAATGAATTTTAGAATCAGTTCAATTTTGGAGAGATTCGATTTTTTACAACTTTTTTATAAATTTGT